ATCGCCTATCACCGCTATCATCTACCTATTCGCCTGCTAACAACTGAGCATGACGACTGTTCGCAGTCACGTTACGTCACGTGCGGAACGATGTGCAGCCCCAAGGCAAGTCCGACACCCCACCCTACCCAACCACCAACCACCAACCGTGCACACACGTGGAAAACCTCTGCAACCCAGGTGTCCTCACGTCTGCGGCACGAAGGCCCATGAAGGCGCCAATTAAAGTCCGTCTGTATAATGTTTTATCGTCCCTTGTTAGTTAGGTCGTGTCCCACTATAACAACAGATAAAAACGGTCCCTATCTAACATACAACGGCTTGATCTGAACACGATAAAACATTTACAGGCGACATAGCCTGCTGCCGGGATCAGCGAGCTTAGGACTTCATTATGAATGTAACACATGAAGTACATGAAGGGGAAATCGACTGAAGTGTGGGCACATCTAGATAAGCGCAGCTAACCTATACACCGCCCGCAGTTGCCGCCCAACTACGCCGACCATCTAAATCACCTCTAAAGTCTATCCTGAAACTGATGCAGACTATGCGTGACTATACGTTACACACTATTATCTATGCTCATGCCTAGAAGGGAGTATGTGCGGAAAATGATATGTACACCAGCTAGCCACAACCTAATCAATTGCAGCTCATCCAAACCCTGAAACTATTGAATCTCGCATCAAGGCTGTTGAGGCCGAGGAGGCGGTGGCGGCGGTGGCGGTGGTGGAGGAGGAGTAGATTCATGTCGCTGTTGTAATGAAGGGCTGCCGGCTGCTGGTGGGGGCCACAACTCCGCAGAGGGCTGTTCAGGAGGGGGACTGCCGGCTGCTGGTGGGGGCCACAACTCCGCAGAAGGCTGTTCAGGAGGGGGACTGCCGGCTGCTGGTGGGGGCCACAACTCCGCAGAGGGCTGTTCGGGAGGGGGGCTGCCGGCTGCTGGTGGGGGCCACAACTCCGCAGAGGGCTGTTCAGGAGGGGGGCTGCCGGCTGCTGGTGGGGGCCACAACTCCGCAGAAGGCTGTTCAGGAGGGGGGCTGCCGGCTGCTGGTGGGGGCCACAACTCCGCAGAGGGCTGTTCAGGAGGGGGGCTGCCGGCTGCTGGTGGGGGCCACAACTCCGCAGAGGGCTGTTCGGGAGGGGGGCTGCCGGCTGCTGGTGGGGGCCACAACTCCGCAGAGGGCTGATCGGGAGGGGGGCTGCCGGCTGCTGGTGGGGGCCACAACTCCGCAGAGGGCTGTTCAGGAGGGGGGCTGCCGGCTGCTGGTGGGGGCCACAACTCCGCAGAGGGCTGATCGGGAGGGGGGCTGCCGGCTGCTGGTGGGGGCCACAACTCCGCAGAGGGCTGTTCAGGAGGGGGGCTGCCGGCTGCTGGTGGGGGCCACAACTCCGCAGAGGGCTGTTCGGGAGGGGGGCTGCCGGCTGCTGGTGGGGGCCACAAATTCACAAAGGGCTGTTCGGGAGGGGGGCTGCCAGCATCGGGTGGGGGCCTGCCGGCCGCTGGTTGGGGGCTGCCGGCTGTTGGTGGGGGCCACAAATTCACAAAGGGCTGTTCTGGAGGGGGGCTGCCAGCATCGGGTGGGGGCCTGCCGGCCGCTGGTGGGGGGCTGCCGGCTGCTGGTGGGGGCCACAAATTCACAGAGGGCTGTTCAGGAGGAGGGGGGTTATTGCGGCGTTTAGGTGAGCGCGGTTGCTTAGGCGGGGCATTGGAAGGCGGTGGTTGCGGTGATGGCCGGGGTGATGGAGGTTGTTGCGGCGGCAGCTTCGGCGGTGGTGACCGTTGGCGGGATGGCGGTGACGGAGGCGGCAGCCGTTCCGGTGGCGGCAATGATTGCTTTTGTGACTTTGGCGGGGGCGACATGCGTTTCCCCAGGGATATAGGAGCTGAGGGGATGCAATCCGGGTCAAGGCTATCTGGTAGAAAGTCGCAGTCGTCATCCAGGCTATCGGTGCAATTCACCTCGGTGGCAGCACGGCGGCGGCAGATCCGTATGGCAGCGCCGGTGCTGCTATTCCACGAGTCAAACCTCACCACAAGTCCGCTGTTCGAATCCCGCCACATCTCACCGGCTGCGATTTCTCCCACTTGATTGGTCTGAATGGTGGGTTTACTGTCAGTACCATTATAGGTATGCATGAGGAGGAAGGGCATCCCCACATCAGGAGCCCAGGGCAGGTCGTACATGTAGACATTCAGACGCGCAGAGATGAACAGCCGCTGCCGCTGCAGCTGCTGAATGTCGCCAGCGCTGTCAGCCGTAGGTCCGTAGGGAAGTCCCCAAACCAGTACCGAGCTTTGTGCGGTACTCAGCTGCGGGGGTATTCGTACAGCGGTCGCTTCACCGTACGGCAGGTTGTCATAGCTGAGCTGAAGGGCTGGCTGGCCCCAACCGAGCTGTTCCAGGGGGCGGTGTTTTTGGTGGTGGTGGAGAAGAATGCGGTGGTCCATGGTCCATGGAAGAGGACGGCGCAGTGGACAGAAGACACCATAGGCAGGCAAGGGAAGGGAGATCGGGGGGACAAAGGGGGGAAAGGGAAGAGGAGGGGAGGGGCCATGAATGGGTATCCACATCCACATCCACATCCACATCCACATCCACATCCACATCCACATCCACATCCACATCCACATCCACATCCACATGCGAATGACCGCAATGGACGCCACCCACTCTGTAACACTGACACTCACAACAGCGTACGCGTGGCATGCAAGCAATCAGGACGTAGGTGTGTGCTTATGTATTTATGATGTGTGAAACAGGGGGGTGTATCTTCGCCCGTGGCAGCTACCCTGCGAAACCCTGCCTTCCCCGATATTTCGGGGCACCCTCATCCAGTCACCCTAGTCAACTTCTCAGTGGATCGCTCAGGTTCCGCACCCACCACCAGCATCCAACGGAATCTGCCGGGTCGACAGCGGCCCAACTCCGTTCCTGGTCGGCTCGCAGGTTAACTTTATCCCAGGTCACCACCGTCCATCAACTAGGGGCGCAATGCCTTCCACCATCGGAAGGACTTTTGACCCTAATGGGTATCGATCCCGGGATCTCCCGGGGGCAATGGTCGCGCCTTACCCGTAGTGCCAAACCCTATATGTATTTATGTATGCGTATAGGCGTGTGTATGTGTATGGGAGGTGGTGCACGGGCCGAAAACGCGATTGTCCGCCCACCCACTACCGCCCACCCACTACCGCCCACCCACTACCGCCCACCCACTACCACCCACCCACTACCGCCCACCCACTACCGCCCACCCACTACCGCCCACCCACTACCGCCCACCCACTACCACCCACCCACCCGCCAGTTATGTGGCGCGTTAAAGCAGCGGATGCCCTGTCCGCCCGTGGCCCCCATGGTGCACGTGTGGTCGCACTGATCTCCCAGGTCGCAGCCGCCGGGCACCGAGGCGTGCGTCAGTCCGTAGTTGTGGCCGAACTCGTGCAGCAGGACCTCCAGGTCACCGTAGGCGTCGCCCGACCACCACACCAGTCCGCTGCCCCACTTGTTGACTGCCGTACGCAAGATCGACCACCTGCCCGTGGTGCCCATACCGGAAAAGCCACCACAGCCTGTGGGGGAGGGGGGGACCGAGTGGGTGGGTGCATAACTGGGACCTATGATGTTGCGGGATGCCTGGCTGGCGAACACACTGGGTAGCCTGGCCTACCTATGTAGGCCTGGTAGGCCTGATAGGTCGTCAACACACGCAACATTCATTTCTCTCGCTTCCCTCGTCCTCCCGCACCTTCCCTCTCCCCCTGTTCTGTTGGCACCCTAGTGGAAACTAAGGTTCTGGGTTCAATTCCTGGTCGAGCCCCCGACAATAATCGGGAGAATTAGGTTTGCAAAACGCTGCTAAGGTATGGAGATGAGGTCTAGTTGGTGGACTAAATTCTGCATGCTAAGTTGCTGGTGATGGCTGATCTGTCTTTACGGATGTCGGGTGACTGGATGAGGAGGGGTCTAGTTGGCAGGACCCAAACCGCCTTCGGTTGTACGGTGTAATCAACTTTCAATATATAGTCCATGGCTTAACGGCCTTGACGGACCCCCCCGCACTCGTGCGGCGCTTGTAACTTGTAACCTTCCCGCACCTTCCCTCTCCCCCCTTCCCGCACCTTCCCCTTCCCCCCTTCCCGCACCTTCCCTCTCCCCACAACCCCCAACTCGCGGAAAAGACCCACCCGTGTCGTTCCGTCCCACATAACCGCTAGGAAGCAGCAACACTCTGTGGTGGTAGTCCAGGGCATCCACTTTATAATTCTCTGCCGCCCAGGCGTCCAGCCAGTAATGCCACTTGAATGCATTGTCCAGCTCGTTGCATGAGCGCGTGGTAAACTTGCCTCCGCTGCTGAAGGGCTGGGGCTCCCTCAACGTCCCGTTGCAGGGAACCGTCACGGGCCCCAGGACTCGGATGTTCTCAGGTAGCAAGCTGACCTGGCCGTAGCTGCAGGTCATGAGGTAGTTGGTCAGGGAGCGGTTGCCGTCGCTGCTGTCAGCGATTGTGAGGAGGTTGGTGACTTGCTGGGCACAGGAGATGTCGGGAGACGAGGCGAAGGGGTTAGGGAGGGCCGGGAGGGGTTAAGAAGAGAGGAGGGGCGGAGGGGGATTGGGAGGATGAGGTATATTGGGGGGATTATTGCCAAGCAAATCACACGTATGAAGCAAGAGTGGGATGGGATGGTTCGAGACGATGGGAAGAACCGTCTGTCATGCAAGTGCACATACATCTGCACATAACAGCTACATGGAGTTCATAACAGCTATCTATCGTCCACTCTGAATGTTATGTGTCGGCAGAAGTCTACTGGATGCGGCCACCTTGTCACCATCGCCACCGGGCGGGGGCTGAACCGAAGTAGTCACCAAATTCGGAAAATTGCACTACGGTGCGTCAACGGATCAAGGCTCCCAGAAACAACGGGTAAGGCCCGTGGGGCCTGCATGGAAGCGCCATGCACGATGGTGAAGCCGTTTCAAGCCCCCTGCCACCCCACACATCACAGGTCTGGTCTGGGTTGACACTACTGCAATTAGCGGTTTAAGGTCCTGGGTTCGATTCCTGGGGAGACCCCCGAATTAGTCGGGAGCGCGAGATTATGGCTAGCTGCTGAGATGTGGAGTTGAGGTCACAGTTGATGGACCAGATTCGCACGCTGGATTGGTGGCGATTGCCGAACCCTCCGTCTCTTCGGGTGTTCGGGTGAATGGATGAGGAGGGGTCCCTGAAGGCTGGATCCGCCGCCTTGGACTTACAGTTCGTATGGCGAAGTACAGTGTGGTAGTGGTGGATGGTGCTATAAGGTGATAAATGATCTAGAACTGACAATGTGATAAAGCGGCCCAGAAGCCTCCCACTCTGTAACATTAAATTACATTACAAAAATTACAAATTACATCACAGATCAAACGCAGCGCCAAATCCGGCCCTGACCGCACCATCTGCGAAGTCAGTGCCCTTAGCCCAGCTCGGGCTCGTGATGGGAAGTGGTGTAGTTGAATGGGTGCATATTTGCGGGCATGTCAAGCCATGAGGCATTGCTACAGGGGCAATGATGAGTGAACGGACGACGAGACTGCGGTAATTCGTTTGGGTTCACGGGGTCATCCGTCGGTGGAAGGTGTCCCCCAACAGGCAGGGGTCCATCGTGGGGTCCGCCGTCACAGCTATGCGGCCTAGCAGTGAACGCAACCACCAGGCATGGGGCGCGTGGGTAAGTGGTTGCATAAGGGAGGGAGGGAGGTCAGCAGGCGGTGATGGAGGGAGACAGATAGGATAGCCAGGCATTAACCAAGTGATGATGCACCACCAAGTCTGTTATCCAGATAAAACAACACAACAATAAAAACACAGCACAGAAGTCACCAGACCCGTTCCCAGTCATGTGTAAGGGTACCTTGCGTGTATCGCACCTGCGGTGTGACTGAGGCCGGTGTGTCATATCCGCAGAACGACGCGATGTACACCAAGATCCGGAGGGACGTGGGGGTGGTGATGGACTCCCCGAGAAGCGCCCGCTGCCGCTGCCGCTGCCGCTGTTGGGGCCGCTCCTGATGCTGGTGCTGCTGCTGGTGCTGCTGGTGCCGCCGCGTCAGGCGCCGCCGTAGACCGTCATCGTGCTGCTGCTGGCCCTTCACCTCTTCTTCTGTGGAGCTGGGCTGCGGAATTGGCCTCTTACAAGAGTACATTACGCCGTCCACGACCTTGTCGTACGACACGGCTACCATGGTTTCCAGCGGGATGTCGCTTGGGGACATGCCGGCGCAGAAGACTAGCCGGTGAATCACGCCGCCACTGCCACCGCCACCGCCACCCGGGTCGCTGCCTAGCCGCTGCTGATCCAGCTGCTGGCGGAGGTAGTATACCGGCTCCCCGAGCTCCAGGGATGTGATGGTGCCTGATGACAAGTGTAGGGCGCAGGTGGCGTGGCTGGGGTGTTGTAAGATGCATGGCCGGGTGGCTGGGAGTTGACAGTTGGAATGCTGTTGTAGGTAGGGACGCTAACGAGTTGAGCTTATAGCGCCGCGTTATTACATAGATACTGGTTTGGGTGGTCGTTGCCAGTCCTTTGCAGTTGTGAATTCATGTTCGGCGGGTGTCCTAGCTCGTCCTGCTGGAGGTCATTCCTGCTGATGAGGGATTGGAAGACGGCCTTATTGTTCGTAGCACGGGTTGATTGACTTCACGCAGAAGAAAGAGTTGTTGGACATAGATGTAAAACGAGAGAGGAATGAATGAGTTTGATCCAAGCAAGCAAATATTTGGACCACCATCGCTTGTCCGTTGTGGTGCAAGCGCAGAGTTTGCGCGCCTGATTAGGATCAGGAGGAAATTAGAATCCGTCTTCCTCTTACGTCTGATTAATCCGCCTCATCACACGTTCTTCTTTCCATTATTCGTACGTACACTTTCTCCTAAGCCGCCATTCCAAAATCGCTTTTGAGTCCGTTCCTTTTTCCTTTGCTTCCTGAGAACCGTATGTAGACGCAAAGGAACGGAGCACCAATGAACCCATTGGATGGAAGCGATCTGCCGCGAGCAACCTAACGAGCGACCAAATGAATCGGACGATAAAGCGAAGGAGCAAGCTAGGCTCGGATGTTGCCGATGATGTGAAACCGCCCAGATAGCGGTATGATGCAGCGAACGGCTACATATCCTTTGATAAAAAGAAGTTGCAAAAGGTAGTAAAGGTGTTACGCTACGCGACCTGACTCACCAATCGCCAGCCCTGGCTTATCCGTGCGGACCAGCTCTCCGACTGTGCCTCTGAGCAGCAGCGATATGAATAGCAATTGGACGCCGGAAAAGCGCACGACAGGTTTGGGCGTTGCCATGTTCCACCTTTACCAGAGTTATTAAGCTTTATGGATTTCAAGTACTATATCTATATCTACAAGAATCATTGCAAGAGTGTAAAGCTTTGTGAATGCCTGGACAGCTTACGACAACAGGGCAAGCACAGCAATGTACAGCCATGCGGCCCGTAGCGGACGCCCTAACAGGAAAACTGTATACAACTCAAGTAAGCTACTAAAATATTCCGAGCTTCATCAGAGCTTGGATTTTAGCTTGTCGGAGACCAGGTAGGTTACTCTCATTAGGAAAAGGGTAGCGCCACTCGACAAATGAAGCTCCAATGATGCTAAGCTGAATTCTCTGGAAACTTGTTAGTAGTAGAGTTTGTCCAAATGCTTCATTTATGGCATATTGGGCAGCGCCGCATCGTCCTCTGTTTTCGCGTGTAAACCTTTGGGTTCCCGCATCCTAGAATAACAACATTTCAAAAAAAACAGTGAAAGGGCATAGGCTCCGTTTCTCGTTGGGATGCCACGATGATTACAAAGAGGGCCGAGCGACTTAAGCCAGCTAACAACCTACAAGATGTAACAATGATGACATAACAAACTAAACAACAACAACGACTTAAATAGTTATCCAGAGCCTAGGCGGCGCCGGAAGGTCGTACATTATCCGTATCTCAAATGATCGTCCACGAGTAAAGTTAACGACTTAACAACTAACAAGAAAACCTAACATGCCCCCCTGCTTAGCACAAGCATCGGCCTCGATGCGATCAAAAGTACAAAGTATTCTAAGTCGTGCGCCACTCCGATTCCCTGAACGATATCGGTACCAGGCTAACGAGGGGAAGGCAAAAGGGAACCGGAGTCAAGGCAAAACCTTCCCCGCACTGGATACCGGCCTAAATAAGGCGCACGACACCTATACTTGCCGGTCTGAGGAACCGGTATATATCCCAACGAACGTGTCCAAAACATCCACAAAGAGTACGCAAACCAAAAGCCTAAGGCACGGAAAGCAAACTCGGTGGATGACAAAAGAACGCAAGAGAACGCGAAAATACACAACATGCAACACGCAATACCCCGAAAAAAACAGAAGTCAAGACACGACACGCGCAAAACTGAGGCGAAATAACCCAAACTGAAACACACAGGACACGAGTCACACACAACACACATCCTATGCGTAGCGCTAGGTTGTCACGAAGTGCACTATCCTCGGGGCGCGTTCCGG